GAGCCTCGATCTACGAAAGGAGTATTCATCGGCTACTCTGATACGTCAAGAGCCTACAGAGTCTGGCTACCGGAGGAAAATAAAGTCGTGATATCCAGAGATGTCAGATTCATGGAGAATAACGCAAAAGATTCTACCCGTATTGAATCTGCGCCGGGAACGTTCAGTGAGAAGCAGGCCGACGATCCAATAGACGGGCCACATGAAGTGGACATGAAGTCGAGCTAACGCCCCCACCAATAATTAACGAAACCCTACCAGAAGACGAGACAGAGGAAAACTTCGGAGACAGGCAATCGGCGGCGGATGAGCGGGACGTCGTTACACAGAGAGACTCGCAGGCAAAAAGGGGCCGAGGCAGGCCTACCATAGTGCGCACTGGACTGAGGGGAAGACCCCCCCAAAAGGTATCATGAAGCTCGCATCGCCAGCGAAGAAATGGAACAAGCCTTCTCGGTGGAGATCCTCATACGTCAGGCCATGGATTGCTCTGATGCGGATAAATGGTTCCGCGCCATGGCGGAAGAAGTGATTAATTATACAATATATTGATTTATTATTTTGTATTATTATGCAATTCTCTGTCCTCATTGATAATGTTTTGGAGTTAAATTGACAAACTGTATGTATATAGTATTACTATACTACTATAATAAAGTATTTATTACCTAACAAAAAATTAAATATATTCTTAAAGAGGTAGTTAATATTCCTGAGAGCTTTTTAAGCTCAATCATTTTTATACTATTTATTTTTAAACCAATTTCACTCCATTCTATTTGTATTTACCTCTGTTGTCATCCTTTAATTTATTAATTCTAAAATTGTACATTCAGCAAAATATTTATTTTGCAATTGTTGGAAGTTTTCTGAGCTGATTAAATCATATTTTTAGATCTAGAAAAATTGTCTTATTTCAGTAGACATAAAACGATTACGTTCTGCTGAACGCACCCTTTGTTATATGTACAATTTCAGTTTTACACATTTAAAAATGCGCGCGTGTTTCAATGTGTTTCCGGTTTTATCTTGTTCACGCTCTGTTAGCCGTACTCTTATTATAGATACTCTAATGCATGGTCTATACAATGCAGCAGCAGTAGTGGATTAAGAAGTAGGCGTAGAAATCGACCAATCATAGTTGAATGTGAGAAAAATAATCAATTATGATTGGTCGATTTCTACGCCTATTCCTTAATCCACTACTGTTATTGCCCATTGTAGATCATGCATTATGGCTCTTGCATACCAGCGCGATGCGCGACAACCAGGTTGTCCTCGAGTGCATCTATATATCATTTTATCCTTGTTGTTCACCGAATGTTAAACGAGGATAAATACATGAGTGCATTATTTCGGATAAATTTTCGAACACAGTCCAATAAGCATATATATTGTATGATTTTTCCAATAGAAGTTGTAAGATGTTTTGTTACGTATATCAAGATTATAGTATATAAGAGAGAGTATATCATCAATCATGAAACTTTATCTCTAGGATGAAAAGTGAAAAGTGAATATTTTTATTGTACCATTGAAATTAATGGAGAAATTTTTAATTTTTCACTTTCCATCCTAGGGATAAAGTTTCATGATTGATATCAAGATTACATTTTTCAATTAATTCTGCTTTTTGTGTAGCCATGCGCAGCTCGATTCATTTGCTTGTTGCGTACATGAAATCAATTTCGCCCAACTTTTGCTGCGACGTTGCGATACTTGGAAAAATTATATATATTATTGGATTGTATTTGGAAATTTATCTGGGTGCACGCATATATTATTTATATGCAAGAGCATTAATGCATATATACAAGAGCATGATATACAAGAGCTATAATGGAACGTAAGCCGGAATCCATTAGCCGGTATTCATAGTCGGATCTTATATTCAAGACCGTCTTAAGTACAGTCTTAAAATATCATGAACCAATTAGAGGGCTATATTACAACTGAAGGGGATAACACACACACACACACACACACACACACACAAATGCATACTTACAGTGCCGCCGAGCTTCGAGTGGCAGTGGAGGTAGCGCGCTGGAATCGGCCCGAAATCTTTGCGAGCATTGCTTTATTACGAGAATACTTTATCGTATACAAATATAACAGTCTACACAATATAACGTCTCCGAAAAAATTTTATTTAATTTTTTAGTAAAACTTAATTTTATTAACCCTTTGCCCTACTTTTCTCTTACAAATTAAAAAAAAAATTAAGCTTTGTACGAACGGGCTCTCACCCATGATACTTATGTTTGGTTCGATTTCTTTACCACGAGTCTCACACAATATCGTAAGCGAAAAGGTTAATTATATTAGGTAGTAAAAAAAAATCCATTATTTTTCACGCGTAGACGAGATACAGATTACTAAAGCCATCTATTGGAAAAATAATGGATTTCTTTTTACTACACCTAATATTTTATGGGAAGGAGATCCAGCTAATCTAACCTAACCTAACCTAACCTAACCTAACCTGCAATTTCAATTTACTGAAGGCAGCCATATTCCTGATTGAAAATCGACGCATGCGCACTAAAAATTGAGACCACATAAAAAGTTTAGTGTCCATACTGTATGTACTTATACTGTACCAAGAGCCGCGTAGTGTTGTATTGATGATAATGGACACTTGGAACGCAACTTGTGTCGCCGTGTGCACAAAAGTGTCTAGGGATATTACAATTGGAAAGCACCCATAGATATTCTATTTTAGTGTAGACGAACCTGTATCCCTTTTATCATGTAGCGCCCCTATATTCAAAAAGTGTGCATATTGAACTATGTAGCCATGGATATTTCCAACAATTTCAACTGGTAATATAGCCACAATCCACGGTCTTCGATTTCAATTCTTGTTTCGTGTTGTATACATAGATTTAAAGAGACAATTTTTTCGAAATGTTACTTGCTAATAGTTTATAGGATGAGTCAGTTGGTTTCAGCATAAATTGCGATTGACGGAGATCACCTATCAAAGATAGTAAAGACAAAGAATGTCATTGTAAAAATATTGAAAATCCTGAATTTGAACTGCGACCATTTCACAAATTTACTGAATTCAATCCGGATTCTATTTTGAAGTCGTTGATCACAATCGTTGTTTTTTAATACATTTCGGTTCGGTAAGATTCGCATTTTCTTTGGTCAATTAGTATTTCAGATATAACCTAAAAATAATTTGTGTTATTGATATTACCGATATATGTGTATATATTGTATATATTGCTAAAAATGCATGTATAAACTCTTACAAATTAATTATTCATCTCTTTATGTTAATTATTTATAGAATTCATTATCAGTTTGAAATAATGGAAGGTTCTGTGGAAACAGTCTATTGTCCTCAAATTTCTTTTTTGGTAATGTTGAGCAACGATTGAACTACAAATACGTCGAGAAAACATGTTCAGATGTTACGGACTACTATCGGGTGGATGACAGGTACCTCAAGGATGGATTCCAGTAAGAGATCAGGAGCAGTTAGTAGTACTGTTGCACAGTCTGAGAGTTCAGACTCTATAGAGGTATGTATAAAATGTTACAAAAACATCTTTGCGATTTAAATGTATATTTGTTGATTTATTATTCAATAATCTATAATAATTGATTATATAGGTAGACAATTCTCGTACAGTCCTGCTAAAGATAGCAACACTGTATGCAGAACGTCTTATGAATGATATTTGTCTTGTTGTGGATGGTGTAGAATATCCAGCACATCGACTAATACTCTGTGCTTCTAGTGATGTTTTCCAAGTAAATAGAGAAATCTGTTAAAAGAAATCAACATTGATTACTGAGAATGATATAATCAGCATTATTGTTATATTACAGGTAATGCTAATGAGTCCACAATGGAGCGAGTCTCAGGAAAGCAGGGTAACTCTCCAAGAAACGCCACAGTGTGCACCAATATTCAGTGAATTTTTGCGTTATTTTTACACTGGTCAGATAAGAATAAATCATAGTGTTGTTTTACCCATATTGTCCCTAGCCGATAAGTACAACGTCAAAGATTTGATATCGTTGTGCCTTGACTATATGCGGAATCATGTTGCATTGGCTGCTATACATGGCACATTGGTATCATGGCTGCAATATACGTTGAATTGTGGGCATCATGATATTAGTCAAGCGTGCCAAAATTTCATCAAGTGGAATTTGGAGCTTGTGGCCAAGACTGCAGACTTCGGAAATTTTGATCTGGATATTCTAGTGTCCTTGTTGCATCAAAGTAGTTTAGTTGTGAAAGATGAAATGACACTTTACAAGTGCCTAGAACATTGGCTGAATTATCAAGCAAGTCGTTTGAGAGCACAGCTATTGCCAGAAGAAGTGGAAGCAACATTGTATCAATTGGTGATAGCTGTGATGTCGCCTGTTAGATTTCCAATGATGTCACCGCGACAATTGGCAGATTTGCTAATGTCACCATTAACAAAAAAGTATAAGGAGTTCTTTGTGGAACGTATGTCTATTGGGATGTCTTTTCATTCGGGACAAATCAACAGAGTAAAAGAAGTCAGCATGAGTGAAAAGGATGGCGCATTATTGTTTGAGCCGAGATTGTATACTGTTGACACCTGTAGCTCATTACTGACCATAGAGAACTTTCACAGTTTGCCATCTTATCATATGAGGACACTTGTATTTTCTAGTCACTCTAGTTTAGCGGAATATGCAGGCGATAGAGTATGCGAGTGGGTAGTAGATATCTATCCTAAGGGTGTGTGGTTCAAGAAATTTTTCCTTATAGTATGGCAGGGTACAGTGGAGATGCCCGAACATGTCAAGCGATCAGTGAGATTGTCGTTGACTTGTAAGGAGCCATTAAATAGTAACATGCGTGTGAAAATCGGAGTTTTAATTTATGGCTTACAAGATGGTGTTGAGCACATTGCAAGAGTTACCGAGATTATTCATAGATTCAGTAAGAAAGATCGTGTCCTGAATTTAGATGATCTTTTGCCGTTTGAAGAACTCAATCCACAACAGGGCTCAGTATCGGAAAATGTTGTATCTCCCTTTTTAGTGGGTCCTAATAAAGACATGCTCAAATTACATATTGTTATATCGCCAGCGAATTAACGTTTACAAAGAAAATCTGCGATACGAAAGTGTCACAGAATGTCGAAAAATAAAAGTTAAAAATGTTTATATTCTACATTTTTACAAGAAATTTAAAAAGAAGATATGTTTTATATTTCTTGTTATATAATATATTTTATATTTCTAAGTACTTCATGCCCTACATTTTTTTTTCTTTAAGAAAGACATTTTTCCAGGTTATATAAAATATTTATAAAAGAAAATATCATAAAATAATATAATATATAATTGTATATCCTTGAACATTTATTTCTAACTCATATGAATTGATTGATTTTATTAAACATTACATTATTTACATTTATGTAATTCTAATGAAGTATATGTATATTACATTGCAATTATAACATATCAAATGCAATGTGAAATAAAAAGAAAAACTTAGTATACATTTAGTAAAAAAAGAAAATTCCTGTTATTGTACTGTAAGTGTAATTTCCCTCCTTAAAGTCTAAACATATAGACTTTCTATTCCTACAATTTTGTCTAATATCTGTGTGTATGAACGCATTATATATAATTGAGATACGGATGTAAATTATTTGCTATTATACTTGTATAACATATAACAATGCAAAATGCGAGTGCATATTATGCATAATACATAAATATGCGTTAACATATAAATATGCGTTTATATGAGCTTGTATATTAACTGTGTTCCACAAACCGACATTTTTGTAACGAGAGATGCAACCGCCAATGATGCCCAAAAGATGACAAAAACTTTTTTAAAGTATCACATAGAATTTGTAAATATATTCTGTATCTCGTTGAATAGAAGAAAAAAAAAGCGTTTTTAAGACTTAACAGTTTTTAGTTTTATAGCTGCAGATTTAGATTAGTTTAGACGCAGTTTATTATTGTTATTAATTAATTAGTATTATGAAATTGGGATGATGGATATGTCTATGAATTTTGTGACTTACATAGTTTATTTGTAATATTTTGTTTTGTCGCTACTTCCTGATAACAAAAACATCATAAGTTATTGGAATACTATAATTAGATGATAATTCCCCCTCCCTCCCCCCCCCCTTATTGTTATTATATACTTGTTAATTAAGAATTGATTTTTCCATTTGTCCATCAATATAATTGTATCCCCGTGCAACAAAATAATCTAAGACCAAATAAAGTATATAATATTTATTTCTTAAAAAATATTGTATGCTAGTTTCATGTAATTTTTAAAATCATATACAATATGTTCTACTCTCATACTTTTTTTAATGATATATTTTTTTATCATTAACTACATATATTACTCTTGTCATTGATCTGAGTTATTGATTACGATTTAAAAATTATGACTGTTGTTTTATGAAAACATTTATTAATTTAGGTCCATGAGTGAAAAATAATTTTATCAGCTATAGTGATAAAGTCATTAAATTTTATCGGAAGTTTTGCATAGATAATGCATTCAGATACATCACATACAATTATGCAATAGAATTTATAGTCACAGGTAGGTCACGTGACATTAGTCACGTGATATTATAAACCTTGAATAGTTAGTAAAAGGCACTAGTCTTATCAAGAGTGATGTCTTTTACGTTTCTGTCGTAGCAGCTTGCAGTCGTATTTTTATTTCTTGCTGTTAAATAATAATGTAAGTAATATTATTTGCTCAAATAATACAATTAATTTCATAATACTAGTTTATTTATTTATGTGTATTTATTTAATACATTTTAATCGGTTAATAATACAGTTTATTTTTGTATAGTACGTTTTAATCGGATGTTTGATGTAGAAAATCATAAATGTTATAAAAGCATATGTTTAAAGGAGCATATGTTTTAAACTGATAAAAGAGTGACCGCAAAAAAGGGATTTTTTTCACCTGTTTTTGAGCCTCAATTTTTGGATTTTGAATTGTGTGCTAAATGATATCCTGCATTATAAAATATTAATTACAAAGTTTCAGGTGAAGTTTTGTGTGTGTGTGCGCGTGTGTGTGTGTGTGTGTGTGTGTGTGTGTGTGTGTGTGTGTGTGTGTGCGCGTGTGTGTGCGCGTGTGTGTGCGCGTGTGTGCGCGCGTGCGTGCGTGTGTGTGTGTGTGTGTGGGGGGGGGTGCGCGCGCGAGAGAGAGAGAGAGAGAGAGAGAGAGAGAGACCACAATTGTTATCATAGCTGGAAGGAATGTCACGTGTTATTACGTATATTATATACGTCTATGCGAAAATTCGATTTTTTTACATTCAAAGTGTCATTTACGAAAGATTGCAGAAGTGCATTGTATACATACTAGAATGAGTCTTCCTTTCCCTATATTACGCTGGAGAGGGGCAGTTTTGCCTTCATCGGCTGAATTAATTAGCTTTTTAAAATACTGGACTTCGCAGATCTATAATGATAATTCGATAATGACCTTTGATTTCATCCCCCCCCCTTCCCCGCTCTGAAAACAATTTTGTCACCTCAATTTGAAACTTCTCTGTGATTAATAATGTCTCTCATTATAAGGTACCATTAGATATAGAGTTTAATCGCAAAATCGAGGACTCAAAAACGGACGATTTTTGCAATCATTTTTTGAAAAGTTTCTAGTCTGCTATAACTTAATGGTTTTTTTTTTTCAAAAATAGCTATTAAATTCCGTATGTGAATGAGATTTTTTCAATTTTCTGCAAATTTAGTTTCATAAAGTTACGATTTTTTTATTGAACATTGAATATTGATTTTTATATATTTTTATTTTATTAATACATTTAATTTAATTAATACAAATTTGTATGTAATGTATATACCTATGATCTGGTATATTTAATACTTGCAGATACAATATGAAACTATATAGTGTTTCGGACGGTCCACCGTCTCTTGCATGTCAGCAACTATTGAAGGCTTTAGATATTAAGTACGAATTGGTCAATGTAAATTTTGGAAAAGGTGATCATATGACTGAAGAATACGAAAAGGTATAGTTAAAAACAAAAGAAAAATATGAATAAATATTGAACAATAATAAAACATATTGATTCTTGCAGCTAAATCCACAAAAAGAGATACCTACTCTTATCGACAATGATCTTATAATGGGTGAAAGGTAAGAAATCCTCTATACAGAGTGGTCCACTTAAATTGACCATCTGAAATATTCAATTGTTGGAATGAAATTGGTGGAAAGAAAATACGTAGTTGCTTTAAAAAAATATGTATACAAAATGGATAACTTTTTTAAATAAGCAACTATGTGTTTTCCTTCCATCAATTGATTCATCTCATCATTATTCTGTTCATAAAAATATTAAGGTACGATTATTAAAAAATTAATTAGTTTACGAGTCATTTAACATTTTATTAATATACTCCAAAATAAGTATAAAATATCTCGTAAACTATTGGTGTTTTAATATCTCTATCTTAATACTTTTATATTTTATTTCACATGAGCATTAAAAAATACATTAATGAAAGTACTTCCCATCACTTGTAAAACGCTACGAATTAATTCCAACACCTAATATATATATATATATATACTCACTATATCATATATTACAAAAATTAAATAGCACTTTTTTTCGATATTGTAAATTTAAGAATACTATAAGTTCCTCTCATTATAGACAATTACATGCATGCGATATATAAGTATCATCTATAGATAATTATATTGGATTTAGAGGAAAAGTTCTGCGATATTTTGTTAGCTCAAAATTATATATCGTAAAAGTTTGAAGTTTTTCCTTACAAAATCGTTTTAAAAAAATGTTTCTACGATTTTTTATTCTTGAATCATTTGCAAGTTAAGTAAAAAGAAGTATTCTAACTTTGATTGCTCGTAACTCCATTAATCGTATCGTAATTAATAAAACAGATTCTTAAAGCTGAAACTTTGTTCTATCGAATAATATCATGCTAATTTTTTAAATGTAAAATGTATAGAAATTTGAATTAAAAATGTGATAGGTATTACTATTCTTATAATTATTGTAATAGTAAAAAGGACAGTAACATTACATTTTTAACTCAAATGTACATATATTCTATTTTTTAAAAAATTGGCAATTACACCATTTAATAGAGCAATGCGTTTCAGCTTTAAGAATCTGTTTATACAATAAAATTATTAATATATATTACAGTATGATGATTTTTAACGGAGTTATAAGCAATCAGAATGCTCTTTTATTTAATCCGCGTGTAACTCGGTAACAAAAAATCAGGAACATTTTTTTTTAAACGAACTTTTAGGAAAAACTTTAAGCTTTCACGTCAAATAGTTGAAAATTTCGTAACAAATATATTCTGTATATAATTTTGAGCTAACAGAATTCCGCAGAACTTCTCTAACCCAATATTTTGCATGCACTTAAGCGTATTATAAATGCATTCTAGATACACTGTAAAACAGAAATAAGGAAATATCCTAGTAAACGAGAATGAATTAAAATGAATTAAAAATTGTAATTCATTTTAATTTATCCGAGTTCGCACTTTAGAGCTGGATTGAATTAATATCTGAGGGCATAAATTTGTTTCTGTTCATGAACATTTATAATTCTTTCTTTATAGAACAATATTTTTATGTTCATTTCAACCGAAACAGGAATATTCCTATTTATTACTATACTCGAATATAAATTCAGGGTTTATATATTTTCGTCATAACTTTTTTTTTAAACGAAAGTGCGTTTTTTCATAATTTTGAATTGTGATATATTTAAATCAGCTTACAAATTAGCTATGTTGAAATTTTTTTTATTAAAGTGAATTGAAACAAGACTGTTCTTATTTATAATTTTGAACTGGGATGTATTTATGGCTAACTTACAATATTTATAACAAAAGTATTTTTAACAAACGGATAGAATACGAAATGAGCTGTTCATCGTGTTGAATTTGGATATATTTTTGTCCATTTTATATTTTTTTATTTAAATGTGTGAATTAAAATACGAAAGAGTTCTATTCATTCATATCAAAATCAGATGTATTCATGGATTTAAATGGAAAAATCAGATGGATTCGAAAAATCAGAAGCGCTAATTTGGAAATATCGAAATGGATTCATTTTTATCCATTTCAATTTATTTTCGT